GGAAGGACGAGTATCGAATAGGAATGAATAATTAAGAATTGAGCGACATTAAAGACAAGAAGATGATAAAGAACGACCCGGACTAACGCGATGACAAGAGAAGAGACGCTATATAGACTTTGATTAGAACTTTAGCTATCTGTGTATTGCTTAGAGAACCGCTCGTTGGACACTGTAACTGACACTGTGTAACTCAAGACGTTAAACTCTTTTCCAGAACCCTAACACTATTGCTCAGTAATGTAATGTATTGCTTGCTTTTCCTATCGTTTTTACCGTTTTTTTTTGTGATTTTGAATTGTATGTTATGTAAGCGCCCAGATCTTTGTTTTGATATGATATTTAGTGACGTGCGAGGTCCTTTATAACGATTTAAGCGCACCTCAGAGGACAAGTATTTGCAACACAGTGTTTTGAGTTTTGTGAAGTTTTATGGTGTTTTAATGAGTTTATGAGTACGGAATATGATGGGGAAAGTAATGCCCCAAAGAGTTTTTCAGAGTTTTGAGATTTGTCGATGTACAGAGATATCGACGTTTTAAGAGTTGTTTTTGTTTACGTGTTGTTTTCCGGAATACTTCTGACGCTTTTTGAGTTGAGAGCACCTTTGTAACGTTTTTTAATGTCTTTTGGGGATGAGAGTTTGGTGCGCTTATATATGAATTGTTTGATGACGCAAGCTTTTGTTCATGATTGACAGGATTATATGTAACTCAGTAGTGTATATCGTTTTAGCCTTTTTCCGTCATTTTGCCAGAGGAGTAATGTGTTGTGAAAGCGACATTGTCTTTGTATTCCGTTTCCACGCCGTATGACTTGTGTTTAGATTAACGACTTGTGAGTTCAGTTGAAGTTTATAAGCGTATATGACAGGAGTTTGATTAATAGCTTTTTATTCATTGTTTATTAGTTGCCGCTTTGCAATGCTTTAACCGAGAGACGCATCCCTGGTAATCACGTGATCGTGCTGTCGATGGCCGTGATTGGCCGATCGCTTGGTTACACCACCACGCCTTAGTTTTTTGACCTTTTGATATAGAGTTTGTAACCTTAGTAACGAGAGACAGTGCAGCGAAGGGTTACCTCAGCGAACTGTTTGAGAAAAACGAGTCGATTGGTAGCCTTTCCCTTGTTTTTTGATTTATAACCGTTGATATTTGTGACTTTATAATCATTGTATTTAGACTTATAATCAGTTTATTAATTAGTGGTTTTACTCTTTTGATTTATACCTACTTTCTTACTATTGTATTTAACCCATATGACGACGAGTAGAGGACAGTATCTATGATTTATGAACGTG